TTCCTCAACCTGAATTAGCTATGAAGCTCCTAGAAATGGTAGTCTCTGACACTGGGGGATGTCATGGACTGAATGTTTGCGTCCTCTCCAAATTCCTGTGTTGAGGCTCTAAGCCCTAATGTGATGGTATCTGGAGACAGGGCTTTGGGGAGGTAATTAGGGTTCCATGAGGCCGTGAGGGGGGTCCTTGGTCTGATGAGATTAGTACCTTTAGAGACACCAGAGAGCTTCCTTTCTCTCTCTCTCTGCCAGGTGAGCACACAGTGAGAGGACGGCCACCTGCAAGCCAGGAAGAGGGCCCTCACCAGAACCTGACCGTGCTGCCACCCTGAACTTGGAATTCCAGCTTCCAAAATAAATTTGTGTCGTTTAAGCCCCCAGTCTATGGTATTTTGTTATGGCAGCCAGAGCTAAGACAGTGGGGCTGAGAGATTTGTCCTCGGAAGTTGCTTTGGCCTCGGTTGGAATTGAGGGCTCTGCAAACTGCTGAAGAGAGATCAGAGTCCATTCTTGTTTCAGCGGCACTGTGGTGGAGTTCCTGGCCCTGGTGCAACATCTGAGGGCCAACCCTCGGGCAGTGGGCAGCACCCTTCAGCATCCTTTTGCTCTTTTTTATGTGTCAGCCCAAAGGAATGTAGGTTAGGACAAGAAAAATGCAAGTTCCCATCTGCCTGGTGGGCAAAGGTGGCTGGGGAGGACTCGAATTCTGGCCTCTGTCTTGTTGAGGCTGGGTCTCCACCTGGGCCTCCGCCTTCACAGCCATCGTCCCACTTGCCGTCTCTAAAAGTGCATTTGCTCCTCTGATCCCCTGCAGTCTACACAGCCTCTGTACAGGACGGGAGGGAGGGAGACCACTGAGTACTATAATCTGTACCTTACACCCGGGGAGTGAGGCCCCCAGAGCCCAGGGGAGCCCAGGCACAAAAGACAGCCCAGCCTCAGAGCGCCTGCAGGTCCGGGGAGGGACAAGGGACAGCCTTAGCCACTCCCGCTGGTCTTCACATTTCAAATCAAGCTTTACCTTCTCAAGGAAGTCTCCCTGACTCCCCAGACCACATCGGCACCTCCTGTTGTGAGTTCTCATAGCTCTCAAACTCTTCCTTCAGAACACTCCTTACTTTATGAAATTATAAATTTGCAAAATTATTTGTCTGACTCTCCCATGAGACATAAAGCTGCGTGAGCGCAGGAAACATACCTGTTTTGCTGGCTGCCGTGTCCCCGGTGCCTACTAAAGTGACTGGCGCAGAGCAGGTGCTCAGTAAGCGCTCCTCGGATGAATGAACCAATGGGAGGCAGAGGAGTGGGAAGGGAGTTCTGGAATGTTTACCTGGGGTCCTAACAGCTTGCTCCTGTGTTTATTTCACTTTCTCCCAACG